CTATTTATTTAAAGTGAACACTAAATTATGCAGTTATTTCCTCTCCCTTCTTTGTCTTTCCAAGTACATTCTTAAACTAAATTCCTGTTTTCTATATCTGACCTTAGCTTTTTATAATGGACTGTCTTATTTCTGATGATGAAATAGTATTTTGACTCTCAAATGCTAGTTTCCATTTCTAATATTTTTCCAGCATTCTTGTTCTTTTGGAATACCTTCATCTACTTTTTCTTTGTTTTTCTCATCTTCTCTTTGTTTCATGGCCATTTTTATCTGACAGAAAAATGATACACATGGCTCTCTCCAGTCAAATCAGTTCAAATGCTTTCTGACCACTTAGCCTATAACCCAAGGCTTATATGATCATCCTTGTTGACTGGTAAACTGTTACACCACAATGGATTTCAATGAACTCAGAATTATCTTCTCAGAATGAGATGCATGTATATCATTTGCTGCTTAATTGTTTTTTTCCTAAACTTACTTTGTTCTTACAGAAATTCTTGATGAAGGAGACAGTGACTCAAACACAGACCAAGATGCTGGAAGTAGTGAGGAGGAGGAGGAAGAGGAGGAGGAAGAAGGAGAAGAAGATGAAGAAGGTGAAAGTATAGTTTATTCAAATAATGTGAAATACTCTAAAATTAAACTAATTCTAATGTAATCCTCTAAAACAGTGGTTCTCAATCTGTGGGAGGGTTTGGGAGGGATGCTGCTTGGCATCAGTGGGTGAAGGCTAAGGATGCTGTTAAACATCCTACAGGTCACAAGACTGTCTTGCACAACAAAATAGGATCCGGTCCGGAATGCCAGTATTGCCAAGGTTGAGAAACCATGCTCTAAAAGTATTAAACAATGAAATTCTTTTTTTAACAGCATAATTTTAATTCGGCATATTATGCCTTTGATTACAGTATAAACTATGAAAAAAGTGCATTCATGTTGAGTGCATGTGATTTACATAACCCTGATAGGAATGTGACAAATGAGAGTGCCTGGATATTTGCTATTCATTTTGTGAAAATAGAGTGGGGAGGCCAAAAGCTACATTTGCAGGAGCAGGAATGAGGATGCTCTCCCTCTTCAGCTTTGATTACATTATTTAACAGAAAAATACACTCAGAACCTTACTTTGGTTAAAATTCAGTTAAAACATCAGAACATACATAAACTGGTCATTATTTACATTGTTACATATTTCAAAATATTAAAAGTATAGCTTTCTCTTTTAGGGTATAATATAAGCTCTTTTAAAATAATTTTGTTTTAAAATGTTTACTTTAAATGACTCAAAAGTACATTTAGTTACATAGTCTTCTTGAGTGTTTATAAGGTA